GCGACCCAGGTTGCATTTAACTACAAATAACAACAGAACATAAGCTCATATACGGTCTCAGAAAAAGCAAAGGGGGAATGAAGTAGATCCAAACATTACTGAGTTGGAAAGGCAGGGAGACTAAGCTGAACAGCAACATAGAGAGATGTTCCCCTCCTGCTGTTTTGTGTAATGCTCATCTCTCAAAAGACAAACAAGCTCCATGGGCTGTCTCAAACTGGCATGCAGTCATTCAAATTCTGACAAAGGCAAGAGAGCCCTAGACCCAAACCCTTACCCAAAGTTAAGCCAAACTCAACCACAGCCCCTCCAAATAGAGGCCCTCTAACCAGCTGTAGAAAAAAACCACCTTTTGCTTCCCAGTGCACAATGGAGATCAAACACTCTCCCAGAGAGTCTTCTGCCTCAAGGCAGGTTGCTACAGATTGACTTTGTGCATGTACTGCTCTTATGAGCATCACTGGCACAGAAGAATTTGGACCTGGTGCTTTATTACCTCAGGCCATGTAGCCCACAAGAAGACCTCCCTCTGCCTCAGACTTAAAAGGCTTTGTGGGGGAGACAGGGGGATAGGTGTGAAGACTTTTCTTCTTCCTGGCTGTGAACATTTCATCTCTGTGTCTCTCTGTGCCCCTTCTAGAGCATTCTAAGAAAAATGAAGCAGAATTTCCTGTTTCACACTCCCATCGTTGTTTATTTTATTTAAAGCTTTCACTTCAGAGCTTTGATACTAGAGATCAAAGAAAGAAAAGGGAATTTGTAAGCTGCAGAGTCTGATCTACATTCTGGTCAGAAGTTAAACTAAAAATTGCCCCCAAGCCAATACACAGGTACTCATTTTGGAGACCATTTGGTAGGCTGTAATACAGCAAATTTGCCTCCCAGAAGATCAATACGAAGATCCTTATTTATTACTTCACCTATCAGATGACAAAATTAGTCTCATGACTAAGGTACAGGACTTACATTTAAAGATCTGAAATTAAGTTTTCATATTAAATTTCACAGCTGACACACACTCAACCAAGTCAGTCACTCCTCTTCCTGCCATTTGTCCATCTCATCCATTTGGACTACAAACTTTCTGGAACAGAGACACTTCTTGCTCACTGATGCTTTCCTGTATCCTCCCTACTTACCCAGTAAAAACTAGGAATGCTTCCAAACACATTATCACTCATTCACCTGCTCACTCTGTTTTATTTTTTTACTTACAGCAAAAGATTCTATTTGCATATAAGTATTTAAAATGAAACTTAAGCATTATTTTCACTTAGAACTGTAAGGACAACAACTCCTTCTCTGATAGCGCTAAACCAAATGATGTTACCAGCAGATCTCTGTGTCCTTCTCAGTTTCCACCTCATTCTACCTTACTGGCAGAGAAGCAGTACTCTTTTTGACTTTCATGAGACAAAGGTTTTACATGGCAGTTTAAACATTACAGACAAAATTCTGTTTGAGTAGCTAATACTTTTAGCATATTGGGCATTTTTTCTGTTACATTGGATCTATTCCCTTATACACCATAATGCTGATCACAAACTTCTACCAAATACAATTTCAGATTACGTGACCAAAACTATGGATTTTCTATTTATACTTGGTGTGTCAGATGCTCTTCAGAGAATCTCAGTAACAAGCACATTTATTCTAATAAGTTCATGTTTCAGTTCAACTAGAAGATATAAAGAATCACATTTTTGCATGGTGCATGACTGGGACTCCAGCTGAAGTCAACAAGAGCCCTGCAGGCACATCTGAAAGTAGCATTTGATCTATAATCATGTTTTTTTGGAATACAAGCACATAGAAGCCCTGTCTTACTATACTGAACATATTGGGAAGATTTCTATTGCAAGGAAAATAGGATTAGAACCCAATTCATGCAGGACACTGTGGCTAGTGCCACGCCATCAGCTTTTAGCAAGAGCTCTCTAGAGTATTAAATGAGGGTGTTTCTTAATCCCTGATGGCAAATGTTTGTTTGAGCACATTTCTGCTTTTATACAGAGGAAATATGTCTGTGTGCAAGGAAAAGAAAGACTTAGGATATTATTTCATTATTACACACAGATTTGGTGCAAGTACTTACCTATATGTGTGTTACAAAGCTTGGAGTAAGGTAATCAAGTATATTATGCTACTATGCAATATATATAATTCAGCAACAGTGTCAGGACCTGCAGTGTTACACACCCCATGTGAACAAAGATTCAGTGTGACTTGCTGGCCCTACTGTACAGCACTGCCTAGAGGGGCTAGACTCGAACAGGGCTTCTAGCTTACAGAGGTGAAAAAAGGAGAAAATAAGCATTTCCTACAAAGAGACTGGATTCTTGACAGAGAAAAATAATTACCGTACCTAAAACAGCTCTAGAGAAAACCACTTTAACATACAAATGGGAAAGTCTGAGGCTCAAGGATATAATTTTTTTTCTAAGACATTTTGAAGAAAGTTTAGTGCTTACCCAACCTGAGTGACAGCACTAGAGACCAGAGTCTTTGATTTCCTCACCAAAGCAGCCGATATCTCTGCAAGCCCTGATCACATTGACTTCCACCTATTTTATCCACATGCGTCTATTTGGGATAAGAGGCAACACTTCATGTTTAGGGGAAATAAATCCATTTCTTGCATCTACACCAAGCTGTCTGTCTCTGCTTCTAACTAAGCTCCTGGCCCAGAGAGTCTTTCTAAAATACACCAGTGATGGGGACTGGGAAAGCAACCAGCACTCTGCTCCTCAAAAGCACAAAACAGAAATCTCATGGCAACAATTCTCAAACAGCCTGGGTTCAGAAGGCACGTGAATCAGAAACTTAGAGCGTTAAAAGTCTTCCAGTTTCTCATCTCCCAAGCCATGCTGTGGCTGGTGTTTTATTGGTAAGTAATTACCAATAAAACTGCCAGGTCCAAACTGCCACAGGTATGGAAATTACAGTAAACCAAGTAGAAGCCTCTTATTCAGGGGATCGTGCTTGAAGCAGAGTAAAAAGACATTTTTAGAGGACCATGCCAAAATACAGAATTAGTTCCCTCCCTCATATGGAGACAAAGGTGCTGGTTTATACCTTAAAGTCAGTCCCATGAACAAGAACTGAAGTCCTGGGCACTCTGCAGTGACTTCAGCTTTCTCCCAGAACAGAAGCTGCCACAGAGTGGCACTGTTCACAGACACCAGTGGGCACAGCAGGGACCTCACAGCAGGGAATTTTGGTTTAGCCTATTCTATAACCCTCTTAGCATCAGGCTCCATCTGGAGATCCCCAAAAATGTTTTTCTGCATTCCACTACCTTTGTCACTGATTTAAATAATTCGATTATCTCCACTGCTGGCCACAATGCTTATATTTTATTTGCAGAATTTAATCTGGCCTAGGAATGATGCAGCAGTGCCACATCCCCAACCTACAGACATGTAAAAAATCAGGACAGACAGCAGTTTAGATGATCTGGGCAGGGGGTCTTGCCCTAACAGACATATGTAACATGCTCTCTTGGCAGCACATACTCACATCCATCTGTTGAGATGGAACTGAGCCTACTGCATTTCCATTGTCCTGTTTTTAGGTCATATGCACCATGTAAGCTCTGGGTTCAGTAGGCAGGGTGCACAGGGCTGCAAATCCTAAACCTAACTTCTGTTACCTGCATGGAAAAACATTGCAAGAATTGTCACTTTGGGAGAGTGAAAAGAGGAAACATGAAAACAGCCACCAGCCCTGTTCTCCTAGGAGGAAAGCAGATCTTTCCAAAACTAAAACAACAGATCATGAACTTTAAGTTGGTCAGTTTAATTTCTTGTGGTTGGTGAATTCAGCAAAAATAAACTGAAGTTTTTTATATTCCCACAGACTCCTGTAGTTAGACCTCAGGAATTATCACTTTGTCTTCAGCTAGACACCAGGGAACAGCCAGCTTAGTCTTAGGACCATAAAGAGCAAAACCTAATTTTCACACATTTCTACATGAGAAATTATTCAGAAAACAGTGAAAAATAGTAACCAGAGAAAATATAGCACGTGAAAAGCACTGCTAGGTCACAGTGACCCATATACAACTGATTTCCATTACTGTGAGCTAAAACCTGCAACCATTTGCCCTGAGAGCGTGAAGAAGCATCAGGAAGAAGCACAAACGTTCCTTATGAGAATGATGAATTTGCATCAGAAGAGACTCTGGACAGAGAAAGCTCAGGGCTTTCCCTCCACAGTCAGTGGCATAAAATTGTTTCCCTTCTTCCACAGATAACTCGGCAGAGACATTTGTTCAACACTAGCCAAGTGACAGTGGCTAAGCGGGGAGCTCAAGCCCAGCCAGAGCAGCACCACACAACTTGAAACACCTTTGCAATGCAGATTTAAGACTCACTCACTGTTCCTCGTCCTGCAAGATCCTTCTCCAACCAGCCATAATACAGTAATGTGGCATTAATAACACAGTATTAACTGATAAACAATCAGTACTAGCAGAATGTTTACCTTTGCAAACCACTATAGAGCACTGCATCTCCAACTCTTATCCTACCAGTAATTCAAGCATGAAGCTCATTACACATCAACTTACGTTTCTGTGCCAGCCCTGGACCCAGCTCCACACAGGCCCCACGCCTCTCAGGGTGACCACCCCCTGTAACTACTGCCGATTTAAACCTGCTGCACAACAGCCACGGCGTCTCACTCACTTGGAGCTGCAGCTACTGTTTAAAACACCGTGACGGAAAAGCTGCAAGGGGCTCTGTGGAAGTGGGGCCTCCCACAGGTCCCAGCCTTGCTCTCAAGACACAGCCCCACACCTCTGTGCTAACTTTTAGTTTTCAGGATAATTTAAGTACATTTACTTACAGACTTGGGATGTCATTACCGACCTCTAGCACCTCACTGACAGTCCCACTCATGACGGAGGGGGATCACAGTGCCCGACTCTAAACCGAACAGCAGGATTCAGCCGCAGCCGGCGAGGCAGAGGGCTGTCCCTTCCCGTCCCCGCACCCTACCTGACCCGTGCTGCTGGCGGAGGATGGCGGCCTGTCCGGACGGCGGCGAGGCCGAGGAGGCAGCGGCGGCCGCCGAAGCGGTGGCGGTAG